TAATTATGAAACACAACTGCAAATATGGTTGAATGTGAAAATATGAGGATTTTATGCAAACAACAAAGTGAAAGTGGGATAAAATTATTTTGATACTTAATCCTCATGAATTTTCCTTATTTTTGAGGTAAATCAGCATTTAGACTTCGTTTAAATATTTCTATTAAAAAATAGTTTTAAAATATCCAGTAATAAAATTTTGATTTTTTTCCTTAAGATTAATTTTAAAATTTAAATTTACATTCATTTATTTAAAAAACCAACAAGAAGTTGTTTGAGTCTTGATGACTAAAATATTTTTGATGCTCGAAATGAAATTAGGATTACCAAGAATTAGTATTTGCTACATTTCTAAAGGGCTGCACTTCATTCTTTTGCATTAGCAAAAATGAAGCATTTTTTTAAAAAACTTTAGCAATGATATTAATAAATAATATATAATAATATATTTTATCTCAAAAGAGATTTTTTAAAATTTAATTTGTACGCATTTGCAAAAAAGCACTGCTCTGCAAAGCCGTTTTTATTTAAGCTTAATCTTCAATATACCTTGTGTTATTTTTATATTTTATTTTTAAATCATTTCTCTTCTTTATTCAAAATAAGAGTAAGTGTAACGAGCATCGCAATTTATAATTTTAAAAAAATCAATTCGTTCAAATCAAATGCGATAAAAATGTTAAGATTTTGACTTTTAATGGTTTGTTTTCGAAATATTTTTTCAATAGTTTAGCTTTTAAGCTTTATGAATAGTTTGGAACTTTGGAAAACTAATGTGTTTTTGCGAAAAATTTTCAATTGTTGAATTATTCGTAAAACATTTTGTATTTTATGGTTAAATTGTTAAAGCACACAAACTTTTATGATTAAATAGCAATAGAAGCAGTTGTGAAATTTTCTGCATTTTACAAGAATTATTTGCGAGACAAATATTTTATTTATTGAATTATGGTTATTTTATTTGCATTAGCAACAATTCTTATTTAGCTTAAATTACTTTCCATAAATTAATTCTCTGTAGATGAGTGTGTATGTTTTTTATGTAAGTTGAATTTTTTTTTGTGCATGCATAAGTACAATTTATTGTACTATTCATGTATGTTCATGAGAAATTTTCCACTTTTCATATTCGTTCATATAGTATAGAGACTTGCAGTTATTTCACTATTCTAATTCATGAAGAGTTGTTGCATGGAAAATATAGAAACCGCAAAAACAGAGGCAAGTGTATATTCATATAGAAATCAGTCTCTACATCAGAATATATTCATATACACTTAGCTTTCGGCGTTAGAGATGCCCATATAAAAAACAGAAATTCTGTTGAGTGAATTTAAAGTGAGAGAAGAAAGAATATAAATGAAATAAGGTTGAAAGGGGCATGAACAATTTTCATAAAATAGTTTCCTTCTTTATTTTGCAATAAAAAAACTCTTTTATTTTTTATTTTCAAATGTTGGTTTAGAGTTAAACATTTTACAATAAATCTCATATGAAAAAGAACTGAAGCTTTTTTATATCCTCAGGGTGCTGAGAAGTTTTCTGTGTATGAAGATCACCATACTTGATATGCTCATTGAGTTTTCTAGGAAAATTAAGTGGAATGAATAATTTTTTATTTCAATTTCAGGGATTAATTTTAACGTTTTTGAATAAAAATTTGCGTTACAGTATTTGAGTCGAAAAATCAAGTGAAACAAAATTATATTTAAAAAGAAACTTCTTAAGTTTATAATAAAATTAAAGTGAGTAGACACACAATTAGAAATTTTTATATTTTCCAAATTTCTCCATTATTTTTTCATTAAACCTATTAAAGTTACATATTTTTGGAAAGCTTATCAACTTTCCAATAAAATGAAAAGAAAAGTTTTGGAAAATTTGCAAGTTATATAGTCACTTTGGGTAAAAAACGCATTTTATATATGCAAGTTTTTAATTTTTTTTATTTCAATCATCAACGACTCTATGAAAAGCTTTCAAATTTTGCACACAAATTTTTTTTCAAATTTTGTTATTAACATTTATATAAGCAATGAGTGTGCAAAATTTGAAAGCTTTTCATAGAGTCGTTGCTGAGAAAAAAGAAAAACATTAAAAACTTGCATATATAAAATGCGTTTTTTACATAAAGTGACTATATTACTTGCAAATTTTCCAAAACTTTTCTTTTCATTTTATTGGAAAGTTGATAAGCTTTCCAAAAATATGTAACTTTAATAGGTTTAATGAAAAAATAATGGAGAAATTTGGAAAATTTAAAAATTTCTAACTGTATGTCCACTCAAATTTGTAATTTTGCTGTTCCTGTGTTGTTGTTTTTTTTTTATTTCATAATTTAATTCTAGGCATAAAGCTGGGTCAATTAATTCAATATTTGTTTAAGCGGCTTCTGTGTGTAATCGAATAATTAAATAAAAAATTGTTGGAGACTTTACGTTTTATATAAATTAAAATGAAAATATTTACATATTAAGTTGTGAAATTATGCTATGAAAATTTATTAATTATCATTCTGATATTCCACACTCAATATTTTTGTTTTAAGTAAATTGGCAATGTATGTAAATTAAAAATCTATTTAAGCTCAATTTTTATTGTATATGGAACTGATTTTTAAACACAGGTAATTTTTTTTTACATTTTTAAGGCGCACTTTTTGACATCTACACAAATTTAAAAAACAATTTGTGTTTGATGAAAATTTTGATGATATTATAATAACTCTGCCAAAAGAATTCAAAATAATTAACATATTAAAAACAACACAGTACATTCAAGCGCACTACCAAAAACAATATAGGTTCCTCACAAGTCATGTATTATATGAATTTATAATTTTTAATTAATTCTATTGATGTTGAAAAACATTTTTTATTTCATTTCGTTGTTGATATCGCGTATAGATGAGAAACTAAAATTTGCATTTTAATTAGTTATGCAGATTTGAATTTAACTTTCTACTGTTATGGCAACATACAAAAGAGTCACTTGACACGTTTTTAAATTTTCCTCCCTTGCTCTGGAAATAAAAAAAAATCCCTATCCAGCCTCACTACTCACTTTATTTTATATACATATTCTGTTATTTTCAAGGTCTTAAGCATGGCATAATGCAATGATGAAAATTGTATAATAAATCTTGATCTATGACTACGCCATGACTACAACAATGATAATTTACATTATGTTGGTGAAAATCTTGTTTTTATTCTTCGTTCCTTATTTTTTCTTTCCTTTCATGTTTCATATTGCGACATTTTCTGACATATTAATTTTAGAGCAGTTACATCAAAAAAGTAAAGAATCGGTTATGTCAAAAGAATAAAATAGTAGACATAATTGGGATTTTATTGAAATTTAAATAAGATTAAATGGGTCATTGTACTTGTTTTCTTTATGAATTGCTTGTTTCCGTATGCATCATTAATCCTTTTTGTCTTAAATTCGTTTTGCATTGTAGAACATGCATAATTAAATAATATGCTAATTTTATAACTCAAAGATTAATGACCAAACAATATTTATTTGTTGCAAAATTAACAAATTAGGAAAATAAAGCTTAAAATAATCTTTTATCCTTAATCAGAATTCTAAATAAATTCAAATTCAAACTAGACATATAATTCTTTTTCTAAACATTTTTTAAGAATATATTGAATTTTATAGAAGTTATTGAAATAAAATCAAATTTTATTTCATACAAAATCATATCAAAAAGAATTTGAATTAAAGAGATTGATAAAGCAAATTTAACATTAAGGATGCGAAATGTAAATAAAATCACGATGACATACAACTGCTTATAGTAATGTAGTAAAAGAGAACGAGAAAAGCCGTTGATCTCATTTTAAGTACTAAAAGTTTTGTCTCTCTTAGAACAAAAATGCTACTCTCTTAGTCTCTCTATGAAATGAATTCTCTCAATGATGTTCTCAAAAAAAAATTTCCTGATTTTAATTTTCTCACAGCTCACCTACAGAACATTTCTATTATCCAACTACTTCACATCTCGTTGTCATAATTTTACGCATATGAGATATTGAATGCTTTACCGCATAGACTCTTTAATTTTTTTGTCTTGTTTTTTTTTCTCTCCTAATATTGAGCGTATTTTTTTTAAAAAAAACTATACGTGCGATAAACTTGCACTCCCGTTCTATTCATGTGAGTTTATCGTTGGTTCCTCTTTAAAGTACTCTTTCTGCACTCTTCATAGAGAATGATGAGCAGATGTTAAAGTTTTTTTTTTCTTTTCTTTCTTTATTTTATTTTGAACCCTCGTTTTTCAACACAAATCGTATAATGATGAATATTTTTTAAATGTGTTTCACAATAAGAATTCAATTTTCAGTTAACGCTTAGATTTTGACGGATCTGGACGTACCGGTGTTGCTTTTTTATGTTTACGATAGAAACTCTTCAATTATTTACGTTACGTTAGAATCGCATTTAAAGTGATTCGTATTGTTGAAGTAATCGCTTCATTTCTGTTTCATGTTTCGGTGATTTTCTACTTTATATTCTTATTTTATTCGTGGATGTAATGTAATATTCTGACATTTAGCAAATGTAAATCACAAAGTTTAAAAGTTCTTATTGTATTAAATTTTTTAATCTTAATAGTGAAATAGTAAAATAAAAAGTGAGCAGCATATAGGATGCATTACAATACAAAATACACTTGGAATTAATATTTAAAAAAAATCAGTTCTGCATGAAATATGATAAATTAGTTTTGAAACGCATGAGTTCTTTTCTTAACCGAGTCCAAAAAGTACACTTATATTGAAAAATTATTTTCTATAAAGTTTTTATCACCAAATCTCTTTGGGCCGATTGTGCGTGTGACATTTGTGACACATTTGTTACTGTAAACTCTGTGAAAGTTCAAAATAATTAAAATAAAAATCTTTGAAGAGATTTAATTGAATTTGTTGAAGTGAAGCATGTGCGACATGAATTATTAATTCTTCTAATAATTTAATAAAGATGAATATGAAAAACAGAAAAATGTCAAAGAGTTCATCAAAATTCGGTATTCTTTGAATAGGCGCATCATGAGTAGACATTAAAGTGAATTTGATGATATTTCAACATTTGAGACAAAACAAGCATTAGTGGATCAATTGGAGCATGAAGCATTTTTTTGATGATTCATATTGATTAGAATTTGATTGAATAAAAATTAATTTACATATCAAAAGTGACAAAACTCTGAACCATATCTCTCGAGATAATCAATACTGAATACTTATTCAGAGCCATTCATATCATTATTTGTGACAATACAGGTAAGCTATTTGAATTATCACATACATGATTAGTACATTCATTTTTTTGCTATGTGAAAATTTGAAGCTCAACCGCACATCAAGTGATGTGTGACTAATTCTGACATAATTAACGCATTATATAGTAAAACTAGAAAATATACGGAAGCTCCTCAAAATATATTTTATTTGTTTTTTTTTTTTCATTGCGGTTTCAATTTTCTATATCCATTCAATTCTTTATTTTTATGGGTGGGATTTTGGTTTTTGTTACCCGTCAACATTCGGTTCAAGTTTCACAGTTCCCTATTGTCTACAACTTTTCAATGTTTTGGGGACATGTAAAGTCATTAATTATACTATTAGTGCTGAAAGGAAGAAAATTTTGTTGTGATTCGGTTAATTTCCTCAAGTCTACATGAAAATTTACACAATTAAGAAATTTACCTTCATTCTATGATTTATGATTGTTAAAAAAGTGTTGGGAATCTGTACTTAATGTAATAAATGTGTTGAAAAAGTAATAAATTATTTCGAAAACAGTTTTAGTTCTATTAAATAAGTAATCTTGTTAATATCATTATTAACTATAGACACAGATCAATCTGATAAAAGTGGTGACTGAAGGCACTGAATATGCATTTTCATGTATTAAAAATAATCGGTAATAAAATAGTTATAACTTTATTCAATGCAGCTCAATACTATATCGTTCTAAAGGGAATTACGCCCTTCTTTTTATGCTAGTAATGAAGCTCCTAAATTAAGATAAAATTGCTTCCACTGGTTAAATTCAATTTACATTTAATGCCTTTACATGAAATTTTTATATATTTCATGCCATTTTATCAGCCACTAACGAAAATTCGCATTGAGTCAAGGCACACGATTAAAGAAAAAAATCAGAAAATATCAATGTCAAGAACGAACCAAGAATATTTCTCATTTCTTCCATTTGCGATAAAATCGGTTGGTTTTATGATATCAGTGGCTATTATTGAAGCTATATTTGTGGCATAGCAAGCAAATATTGGCAAATGAACAGTATACGAAAGGGGTTAAAAGTACAATGAGTTATAATATTGAGAAAAGGATCAAGCGGCAAACTTTTAATTTGATCACAGAAGGAACTTTCGATTAAAATCATGAATAAAAAAAATGTTTGTAATGGGAACGAATTCTGCACAGAATTTTTATCGTTCATTAATTATTGGAAAGGGAGACGAGCTGACATTTTATGGTTCTTTGATTGGGTGGCCTATTAAGGTTTTAAATACAACTTGAGGTAACAGCAGTGTAAACAACACCAGCGAGAGAGTTAATTTATAAAATTTTAATCCAAAAAGAAAATAATATAATAAATTAATTTTTCTCGCCTTTTCTTTGCGTTTTCGGAATATTTTATTAAGGGATTTCTGCCTGTTTCAAAATTGGGTTTCGTGACTCCACATTTTATGATGGTGGCATTTGTTTAAAAAAATGAAGGAAAAAAAAACTCACTCATTTAAGATTCAAATATAAATTATTCATTTAAAGCAACCGATATGCGACATACCTAGGAGATATATATCTTTCTGTGAGGATAAGGACACGTATTTTTGCATCGCTTATGCATAATCATATGTTATTGCCTATTTTTACTTCACTTACGTCCTTCAAAATAACATTTGATATGCTTCAGTAAACCTCATTTTGTAACTCATAAAAGATTCTTTATGCTGAATAAGATATCCTCACAGACTTGAAAGGAACAAGTAGAATCTATATTAGGTTGCTTCATTCAGTATTTTGTGCGTACATAGCTGAAGGAAATACGTATACATCCGACTTTATTATTATCATTCTACAACAGACATTATGGATATGAAAAAAGCGGCAACAGAGATTTCATCCATTCATGCCATCATAAAGAGCCCTAAATGCTTTATTAAATCGAGATATGAGTATGTGCATACTTTCTATGATGTAAGAATAAGGATAAATTCGAGTGCATGAATTTTCTCTCTCATTATTTACATCTTTCTCTATTTGCACTAAGAATGAAAGAAAATGAAATTGATATTTTTCTTCATTCCTTTGATATCTATACAAACAATGAATATGAGTATTTTAAATTTATTTCATGCATAATGTTCGAGAAATAAATTTATATATTTTCTCTATTTCTCTCTCTTAGTGTAGACAGAAGAAATTTTATTTTTCCTTGATTGGTCAAAAAAATGACGTCAATCACAAGAAATCGAAATGTCTCTAAAGAGTTTTAATTTTATTATAACCCAAAATTTAAAATTTCAATATTTTAAAGTGTTTTTTTTTTTTCTTGAAAGAATTGAAAACAATCATTTCGGGAAATTGAGTGAACATCTGATGAATCCTTAAAGTTCATCGATTCATTCATGAAATCACATTACGTCATGTTGATCTTTTTTGCTAGTTCGCTACTTTTTGTCTTCTTTTCTATTTTATTCTATTTTTCTATTTGCTTCTTCTTTTCCGTTTTCCATCAGTAATCTTTTTAGATTTCTTTACGCTACGCTGAAAGAACGTGATGCTATAACAAACAATGACTGTTGCTTTTCTTGCTTTAAAGGCCTTTTTAGATTAAATTTTCTTTTCTATACTCATATGTGCATAAAAATTGAGCATATTCATTTCATATGCAAACATAAGAAAATTTTCTTTTTTATCATTTTCTTTTTTTAAAAAAATATTTTAACTTTTTAAACATAAAAAAATTACTTGAATGTTTACAAAAGGGTATCTATCAGATTATGAGATATTATATGAGATAAAATTGTTGCACGTTATGTACTTTTAATTCAGATCAGTGTTGCATTCTGACCATTTGTTTGGATCAGATAAATTCTGAGACAGAAATTTCTTCATAAAGATCGATTCTACATGAAGATAGAAAATCTAATCTACACAAAGATTATTTCTACATAAAGAATCTGTCTACATAAAGATTCGATGTAGATGTCTACAATTCTACATTCTTCTCTGATGTAGACCTGGAAAAAATGTAGAATTGTAGACATCTACATCGAATCTTTATGTAGACAGAATCTTTATGTAGAAATAATCTTTGTGTAGATTAGATTTTCTATCTTCATATAGAATCGATCTTTATAAAGAAAGTCTCTTAGCTAGACAAAAACTATTGAAGAATCTACATTCTTCATCTAGTGTAGACATCTACATTTGCAACACTGATTCAGATTTAATTTTTAAGAGATTATTTCAGTAAAAGATTTATATAAATCGCATCATAAACGTTTAGAATATAATACTGTTTATTTGTTATGGAAACTTTATAATGAAATGTGTGCTTTCTCATATAACATCATTGATGATCAAGTTGTTCTTTGCTTTCTTATGTTAATTGTTTCCTATGCAATAGATGTAATATGGAAACAGGAAATAACTTTTGATATTATGAAATAGCAATACAAGATATGAGAAGAGTTGAAAGCATAACAAAAGTAAATTTCTATTCTTTTCATTCTCATTGAGTTACTATGTAGCATACTTTTGTAGTAAAATAATTTAAATTCATTTCAGCTGGGAACAAATGAAAAAAAAAATGAGTGAAATATTTAAAAGCATCAAAATCTAATGAAATTTTTGAAATAACTTGCTTCCTTTGTCCTAAATTGTTTCGAGAATTCAAAACTAAACACACCAAAAGTTTTCAATTCTCTCCACTTTGTTGTTAAAAGAGGCTCATTGAGAATGAAAAATTTAATTTCTAATTCATGCATTCAAGACATGCACAACATATTTCAACATAGCACAAAAAATAGAACAAAAGAAGAAAAGGCTGAAATCGCTCATATTTATGCTGGAGAATGTACAAATTTTTTGGTATGATGAGAATTTTTGTATTCTTTTGATTTTATGCCTTTTTTTGTTTGTTGTTTTCGCGTTCCTCACATAATGTTTGTTTCTATGAACGTGTTGAAATAACCTAGAATTGAGAAATACCGGTCTTTGTTAATATTTGTTACCAAATAAGAAGATTTTGTCTGGTATATAACTAAATCTAAGGAAACTACACATATATTTGTAAAACTGATAAATCCTTCGCCATGCTAGCTTCAAAGCTAGCATAGTAACCCAAAGCCAAAATCGTAGTCAAAAACAGATGAGGTGTCCAAAAATGATTCAAAACCTAACATTTATTAAATTAAGACCATGATGATCGATAATTTAAGGCTGCAACTTATTAATTTATATATATTTATATTTATATATATTTATCACATTTTTAAAAGGTGACATCTCTATTATTTCAACTAATGGATCCATGTTGTCAATTAAAAAAGTTTTCTTGCCTTCATTACTTTGAGAAAAGTTTTAAAATTTTTTGAGCTATAAAATTGAGTTTGTTTTATCTGTTAAAAGTTTTAAACTTATTAATCAACACTGTCTAACCTTAAAAAATATCTTTTTTTTTTTTATAATCCATAGACCATAGCTGTTCTTCTTCATTTGTCAACATCTCAATATTTCTGTCATTTTAAAGGCGAAAAATATTTATCTTCTTCCTTCCGATAAGAAGAAACATTTCTCAGCTATATATGTCATCATGGTTATCTCAGATTTGTTATAAATGAACCATGTGACCTCAAAGTTTCTTCACCCTCGACTCGACAATATTTTTCAAATTACATTATTATTGATAAATTTTATTTCAAGTGTCAGATTTCATACATCCATTTTTTTTTTCAATGTGTCATGACATGAAATCCCTGCCTATTTGTCTAATTTTTCTTCCTTTTCCCATATTCTTCTCTGTCATCTTTCGAACGGTTTCAATTTCAGTAAATAGCATACTCACTGACCTTAAAGTCTCTGTTTTATGTTACTGTATTTTTCAAATAAAATTTATTTATTTATTTTTTTGTTGGTTTTGTTTTGGTTTGTTTGTTGAATTACTGATGTTGTTTTCCTTTTGAAAATAAATATACTATGACAAATCAATGACCAAACCAAGGAGACGAAGTGAAGGATAAGATTAC